ATATATCCAATTGGCCTGACTTGGCACTTCTCAAATATGAACTATAAGCTCAAAGTGCAGGAGAAAGATCTTTCAAGCATCAGAGGGCCAGGGCAAAATGCATGGCTGCTGATGAATTCTGGGAAGGAGTGGGTTGTCTAGATAGACCATTCAAGTCTCTAAGGTAAGAATGAAGACTTGAATCTATTGTACCTTCAGGTACATGATGCAAAATCTTTTGGAAACCCATTTAATACTAACTTGGTACTTATATAACACACAGATGGACCACCAGAAACTGTACAGTTAATATTCATAATGAACAAAAGTACCTACCCTCTGGTTCTATAGCTTTCTAGTTTAGGTAGTTAAATTCAAAGGTGGCAGAGAGGCCCACACTTTTCTACATGAATCTTCCTATGCTACTTGGGTATGTAGGCCAATGTAGTCTCATGCACTGTTGACCAAGGCACAGATAAACTCAAGTAGTAAGCTTTTATTATTTTCAGAAAAACTTTTTTTCTTTATTGATTTTAGAGAAAGAAAGGAGAGGGAGAAAGAAACACTGATGAGAGAGAACATCGACTGGCCGCCTTTTGCATGCCCCCTACTGGGGATTTGGCTCACAACCTGGGCATGTGCCCTGACCAGGAATTGATCTGGTGACCTCTTGGTGCATGGGTGGATGCTCAACCAATGAGCCACATCGGCCGGGTGCAGTTTTGAAAATCTGAAGTAAATGAAGGTCCCCATAACAAAAAAAACAAAACAAAAAAAACCAAAACTGTAGCCAACCGAATATGTCTATTACATTACCATTAAAATAAGTATTTTTTTCAGAAAGAATCCTTTAATAATTCAGAAATGTGTCTCACATTTTGTAAAAATGATATTTCAAAAATGCCACTCACATTTTCTGCCTTAGTTGCTAAAATCACCTTCTTTCCATTTCATTACTATCACCATATTCTACAGTGGCCTGTTCACCCTGTCCAAATTGGTTAAGAAATCCTGAAGATGGCCTGACCCAGTTGAAAAGAACACAGGAAAAAGCTACATGGGTCTAATATACAACTTGCTTCTTTTCTTCAAATACATCTTCTGCCCAAACTATTAAGATCTTTTAAATTCCTGAAATTACCTTCTAAGATGACTGAAATAAGACAGCCAATAGCTCATTTCATCCTGGAGCAGAGAGGACTACAATGGTATCTTTCATTTGTAAATGGGGAACAGGGGACCAGATTCTATAAAAAATAAACTGAAGATTATATTTTAAGGCATAATTTTATTATTTTCACTACTGGAAGCAAGGTAATCTCAATATATGTATTCCTTTTCTCCTTTGTTGAGGTCTGTAAACAGCACTTCTTATATACAAAAGGTTTCAATAAAAGACATTTTTGTGGTACTTTTAAAAGGTTGGCTTTACTATTATTCTTGAATAAGCTACATGTCTTACCTAATCTTTTCAATTGTTGATTTGCTGAGCAAACCCTTTTCATCTACTTTATATAAATTAAATCTCAGTCATAGCCTCTTTATCTTGACAACACATTCTACTTAAATACAGACATGCAAATTAGGTGGGGGCTGCTCTGCCTTGGAACTCACAGAATTTATGGGCCAATTAATCTGAAAGATAAGGTTTATTGTAAATGGAATGGGGTTTATTATATATTGCAAACTATATGTATTTACTATTTATATAGCTTAATAATTTATTTAACTTCATACAACATATTACAGGTATCCCCTTTTAAGCTTCTTGTTGCTTATCTTAAAGACTAGGTTAGCAATATGCTAGCAACAGCATTTGACGTGATACAAATATTTCTGATGCCAATGTCAAATCTTCAGAGAATTTTTTTTTGTCATTTTTAAAATATTTATTGCTTAGATGATTTGATACAGAACAGCTTTTCTCCTCATTTTGAATTTGGAAGTACTATACAACTGAATACAAACAGTAACAAAAGTACCAAAATTAATCTTGTGATTCTATTCATGTGGCATAAACCAGTTCTGTACACATATGTAGCAGTTTTTAAGTTCCCTTTAGAAAAATCTTAATTCTACACATTTATTATTGTTTCCTGTTTAATGCATGGGTTGAAATCACTAGGATCAACTTATTTCTTGGAGGAAAGGAAAGAGGTGAACAGAGAGTTTGAAGGTATGAGGAATCTTTTTGAAATTGGCATCCAACCATCACACACTTCCCTTGGGGGGCTGCTTGGAAAAACAGCCCTTTGGGTTTTTGTTTTGTTTTCAGAGCCAAGAGTTTCACATAGTGAGTGAATCTCAGCATTGTGTCCACAAATCAAAGAGAAAAACTTGCACCTTCAAAAACTTTTCAGAAGACCACACACACACACACACACACACACACACACACACGTAAAAGCCCTGAGAGGTGAAAGAGAATCAAATAAAATGTATAGAAACAAGTTAGTTGGACATGCAAACTAAGCTATGATTCACACAGAGTTTAGATAAACCACTATTTCACAGTTTAATATTGGGGGGAGGAGCAGAAAAACACATATATAATACATTTCTCAACCAAACTAATAAAATGTGGCAAGACCTTATTGATTGCGAGGGTATAGATGAAGGCTAAATAAAGCTTTAAATCAATAGTGATTGTTGCAAGCTGCAGCCCAGTGTTGTAATTTTTTTTCCCCCACAAGGAAATAAGATTTAATTCTACAAATTTACAAGCCAAGAGAAAACAAATGAAACGTGGAAAACCAAACAAGACCAGCAGTCCAGGACTCGAGGTCACTATTCACTGCAGCCCAGGCTGCAGCAGCTACATCTCACTGCAGCACAGAGTTACATTACTGCTTGTCCACAAGGTTGCCAGTTTTAGTGTGGAGAGTTGCAAAGAAAAAGACAACACTAGAAACCTCAAATGATAGTAACTATAAAAATAACAGAAACAATCCTCATAAAAAATAAAGGGAGGTATGAACTGGTTTTAACTAAGCAGGCCACATTTGGTAGGAAGTGATATGGAGATCACCGGTTCTGATGAGTATTCACCTAGAGTAAATAAAACCTCATTTTGAAACTGGTTCAAAATCCCTAATACAGTGAAAAATTATAAATACCTCAACTTTTTCCCTTTCACATGCAAAGATATCACTTTTCATCAATTCAAAAATATATAAGGAGGGAGGTGAAAGTGGGGATCAGGGGGTCAATGGGGGAAAAAGGGACATCTGTAATGATTTCAACAATAAAAATTTAAAAATTACACACACACACACACACACACACACACACACACACACACGCACAGATCTTCCTTTGAAGTCCGGGCAGTTGGATTTTGGCCACCAGAAACTGGTGAGGAATTCAGAGAACTTTTTTACTAGAGAATTTCAAAACACTCATCAGCATTTCACTTTTTATAACTGAGTAACTGCAACATAAGTATGAAACTGGATGGCAACAAAACTCAAATGGACTGAATAAAAGGTGGATATGCAAGAAAATCAAATTTTAGTCTCAGGATTATTAGTGATTTTTAAGAACCCACAATTTATCCCCATTGGAAAATATGTCCCATGCAACGTACAGTGAAAGGAAATTGTTTTAGAAGAGTTTCAGCCCAGACGGTGTGGCTCAGTAGTTGAGCGTTGACCCATGTACCAAGAGGCTGGCTGCTGGTTTGATTCACGGTCAGGGCACATGCCCAGGTTGTGGGCCCAATCTCCAGTGGGGGGCCATGCATGGGGCAGCCAGTTGATGTTCTCTCTCATTGATGTTTCTGTCTCTCTCTGCCTCTCCCTTCCTCTCTGTCTTTAAAATAAAATAAAATAGTTCCATAAAATGCAAGATATTACAACACAGGATATTAAAGCGCAAGTCATTAAAAAAATAAGAAACAAGAAATGTGTATCTTAGCATTTCATATCTGAAAATATGTGAACTATTTAATATACAACCTAAAACATGTCAATTATATTCACATTTGAAAATATGCTCTCAACTTGAAATTGCAAGTTAAACTCTGTATGAGAAGACAAACCATTCTCCTGATCAGCACTGCACATGGCATAACGAAAACTGCTGTCCCCTCCACTCACTACTCTGCCCCACCCACAAAAGAAAATTCCAACCACAGCATAATAATTTAATAAGTGTTCCAATTTAATGATTAAATGTATCAAATGTAAACATTTTTTTCCCTTTAAAGTATTTACTAAATTTGGCCAAACTAAATATTAAATACAAAATCCTGCCAAATAGCAGTGATTTCTGCAGGATTGTTTCTGGCGGTCCCTCTGACAATCTAAACAAACAGTCTAGGAAGAGGCCGTTCTTTCTTCTAAATATCAAATCAAGGGTGAGAACTGAAGTAAAAAGTAGTTAAAACAGACACAGACGCCTTAAACATACCTGGTACACAATCATGACAACTTTCATATTTGACAGTAGTTGAATTTCATTCCAAGCAGATAATTTAATGATAGCTTTTCTATAAAAAATTTCAAGTAAAATGCTCAAGCAAGGATTCAATATAAGGGAAAGAGCAGCAGCTACAATTTCAAAATGTATTCCATAATGAGGTCAACATTAACTTTGAGAGAAGACACTGGGAAAAAGCGCTGGCTTTCGGAGACTAAGACCTGCCATGTGGCAGGGAGAGAGAGCTCTGTGACAACCTAGTGCCATTTTCCATCCTTCTAAACCTGTATTTTCTTGAGAACCACAACCTTGAGTTACTGTTTAAGATAATCTGATTTCAATAATAAACTTAAGGTATAATTATTTTAACGTTTTCTCTAAAAAATTAGTTGAAAAGGACACACAAAAAATTCACAGTAGTTTTATGTTCTATGAGAAAAGGTACTATGGCCAAATATATTTGCTTTAAAATTTTGATTATAACCAGCTTCAGGTAAAAGTCATTTTTAAATGGTCAATTTTTCTTTTATATATAACCAATACATTTTATTTACATGTATGACTTAATTTTTATTCAACTTTTTTCATATAAAGTCTATTATTTTAACTGGTATGTTAACTGTTATACAATTATAGAAACATTAAATATCCTCTTATTCACAGGCAGATTTGATGATAAAAGTACATCTCCATATTGAAAAGGAGAACTGAATATAGTTAAAACTTCAATGAATAACAAAGATGAAAACCCAGCATTAACTTCCTGTCTAGTGCCACATCAATTATTCACAAGTCAATCGCCTCATCTGCCTAAAGTATAGCTGAACATAAAACAAGTATGCTTCTGAAGACCTTGAAAAAGAGCTCTGATTTAGACATTAACCACTGCTTAATGCTGCTATTGATGTGAAATTCTTATACGGGGTCATTTTATTCTTTAAAAAAAAAAAAACAACAAAAAAAAACCCACTGATTTTCCTAGTGACATTTAACATTAAAAAAGTTATCTTAGTTCTTTAACCCTCAGAGAATTGGTATATTTAGGCAACTAACCAAAAATATACTCAGGAGCATGTATTTTTGTCCCTGATCCCTAAAGGGTTAAAGTGCAGAAATTGTTTCTAATTTCTTACATAAGGCAAGCTATTCCACTTTTTTTTTAAAAGAAACTTTTTCTTTGGTTTCTTGTAATTTTTCAGTAAGTCTATCCTTCGTTTCTTCCATTTTCTCTGTGAGAAGTTCCTTTGTCTCTTCCATCCTATCTTGTAGATACTCCTTAACAGGAGGTGGTGTTGACATGTAGCCGTGACTACGCAAATACTTCACAGTGAAGGAGGTTCCCCCCAAAGTCACAGTATATCGGGCAGGTGTTGCAATCTGAAGAAAAAAAGCAAACAGGTAGATCAACCCTGCTGATTTACAGACACTATCGAGAACTAAACTACTTTAGACAGTATGAGGCAAGCATGGGCCAAACGTTTCTTCTTTACTGAACTTAGTTTAGTTTCATTTTCAAATCTCTTTCATTTGACTTTTTCAGGACTTATGCTCCTTCCTTATTACAATCTGCCCTGGGTCTGGAATCACAACCAGAATCTCCAGGAGGCCAAGTGGTAAAATGGTACACATGTTGCAGACATACACAGGTTTAACTCTGATCAGAATTTAAGAGCCAAAACTAAATAGTAGACAAACTGGTCAAAGAGAATCTTAAAAGCAGAGGGTCTGCACGACACTGAGGCTTTTGTATTAAAATTCAGAATCGTAATTATAGGTGTACCAGATAACAAAAGCCTCTGAAAGAACTGCGTATGCTATCCCCAATTTCCCTCTTCATTTTCTCTTGAACTTAGCCTACCCAAAGTTTCTTTTACCCCCACCCCCTACATAAAAACTGCTCCACCGTGGAACAGAGTTCTGTGAACCCCGAAAACCAACTGAGACAGCTTTATGGTGCACATCCTCTGCTTGGCCGCTAGGCTCCTAGGTCCCTGGCCTTCTATTTCAGAGGTTGCCCCTTTTCAGTGGTCCTTGCTGATTCCTCCTCCTGCTGAACACCTCTGAACACAGTGGGACAGCCTTCAGTGCCTGGACCCTTTTTCTCCACCTACCTCATTCTCTTGGCGATCTTGTATAGTTTTATGTCTGTAGTGCCATCTGTGTGTTGATGATTCTTAAATTTAGATTTACAGACTCAGTTTTTTCCCTAAATTCCAGTATATACTACCACCTACTCATTTCCACCCTGATGCCTAACAAGATCTCAAAACGGTCATGTGTTCAAAACTGACCTTCTGATATTCAATGGTCCTACTAAACCTACTCTTCTCAAAGACGTCTACATCTCAAGAAATGACAACTGCATTCTTCAGTTGCTCAAGCCCCAAACCTGTTAGATATTTTCAAAATATATCCAGAATCTACCTACTTCTTACCACCTCTCCAGCTACCACCTGGGTCCTAGCCACTAGGACCTGGCAGGCCTGTAGGCTTCTACCCTTGCCCTGTGAGACTGTTTTCAATACACCAGCTAAAGTATTTTGTTAAAAGAAGTCGGATGCTTGAAATTGCCCAGTGACTTTCCATCTGATCCTTAGAGCAAAAGCCAGAGTGCTCAGTGCTCAAAAAGTCTGGCAGGCTGCCCTGATGTGGCTACTCTTTTGCCTGTGACCCTGCTCATTCATTCCAGCCACATTGGTTCCTCCTGTTCTCTCACATACTCCAGGGATCCTATAGCCTCAGGACTTTGTACTTTGGTTTCCCCTGCTTGAAATATTCTTCTCCCACACAGCTGCCTCATTAACTTGCTCACCTTCTTGCAACCCTCCTTCTGAAAAACACCAAGCAGCAACACAAACACAGCTCTCATACCTGGTTTGTTCTTTCCTCTTAGCACTTACTATCATATAAATACAGTATGTGCGTGTGTGTGTGTACTTTTTAAATCTTCCCTTCTTTGTCTCTCTAACCACCTCCCACCATTAGAACACAAACTCCACGAGAGCATGTATTTTGCACCATTTTGTTTAATTACGGTATTATCAGTACATAGCACTGGCATTTGGCACACAGTAGGGCCCAAGAAATTTGAATCAACTCAAACAATGGTGCATTACAAGAACAGTACAAGGGGGTTATGAATGTGTCCTAGCCAAGGCCACGAGGTCATACTCACAGGTTATTTATTTATTTTTTTCATCTTTGCCACAACTCTTTGGGGTCTTGCCTTACCAAAGCAGTAAGTCTCAGTATTTGTTGCTCTACTTGAGACTGTGGGTTATAGTAAATACCCGAGAGAATCTCCCTCCACATTTCCTTCCTTGCAGAGGAACACTGAGTGAGAAGAAACACTGCTAACAGTAATCTGCCTACACATAGTTTCACATTTCAATCCAAACCCAACAATCACACACTGAGCACTGATTTGCCAACAAAGCACAATACCAGACATATGGAACGCACAGAGAAAGAAGATGTGATTCTAATTCCCTGGGCACTCATAATCAAATAAAGAAAACAAACATTAAAAAATAAAAGTAGCCCTGGCTGGTTTGGCTCAGCAGTTAGAGCGTTGGCCTGTGGACCAGAGAGTCCCGGGTTCGGTTCCCGCTAAGGGCATGTTCCTCGGTTGCAATCTGTCCCAGGCCCCAGTTGGGGTCGTGTGGGTGGCAACCACTTGATGTGTCTCTCTTACACTGGTGTTTCTCTCTCTTCCTCCCTCTCCCCCTCCTGCTCTATCTGAAGATAAATGCAAAAATGTCCTCGGGTGAGGATATAAATAAAAAATAAAATAAAATAAAATAAAATAAAATAAAATAAAATAAAATAAAATAAAATAAAATAAAATAAAATAAAATAAAATGAAATAAAATAAAAGTAACATAGAGACTGTGATATAAACTATATTAGAGCTATACATGTTATGGGAGCATGGGATAAGGAGCAATTATAATTAAGGAAAAAGTTTAAATCATTATCAAATAGTTTGATTTATTAAAGTTAAATTATACTCACTATAACAATAAACTTGATAACTTATAAATTTAATAAGTTTTAATGTTGAAAAACGGCAATTTAGCTTAGCTTGCTAGTCAAAATTATAAGAAGCAAATCTTCCAAGATTTCAGAGAAATCTAATACGGATGACAGAATAAAATAATTTTTGTTTTTAGTACTATTAAATAAAACCATAATTCTAACGATTTTTACAAAATTAAAGTAAAATAACACCTAGTTTCCAAATGTTTTCTACCTGTTATTTTCTTTCTTAGCATGAAGCTCTAAAGAACCTCAGAATTATTTGTCAATTGAGAAAAATGAGGTTAATTCCACAATTTACATTGATTCTCCTCTTCTGAAACAAAGACCCACAGGTACAGAAACTATTTATAATGATGTCATTGTCTAAGTCCAGAAAATTATAAAGTCTATGAACTTCTAAAATGAAACATACATAAATCTAATAACTAAGTCTAAGGTTTATCACAAAACAACTTGAATTAAACTTTATTATTTATTAATAAGATGAACTATTATAAATAGTAAGATAAACACTAAATTTCACTTACAAGTCAGGTGGCATGTGGATCTCTGAACAAGGAAAATTAACATACTATCAATAGGAAAAACATCAAAAAGATGACATGTACCTTAGAAATTCAAAAGTTTCACCTTTGATCACAGCAGGTTATGAATGATCTACCTATTTTCAAGGCACTCTTCCTAAACCATCATTTTATATACACTTAAAAATTTAAACTTTAATTATTAGACATGTAAGACATAAAATAATTTAAGTTAAAAAGAATTAATGGATGCTAACATTGAGTTTTCTGGAAAACTGAGCAGTTAGTTTATCGGTTAAGTATGAGGAGTAATTCCTAATAGTACCTACCTTAAACAAGGCATATGCTGTTAGTGCATTTCCACTCTGGGAATTTTTCAGAATGTTTACTATGCTGTCAGGTAACCCAATAAGCTCTAGAAAAGGAACGACATTCACTCCTCTAAGAAAGAAACAAAAAGTAATTTACATATACATACACACATATATATATGTATATATGTATAAACAACAATTTTAGGGATACATAGTTTAAAAAGATTATCTGAAAACACCAAAACTAAATTTTGCTTAAAAGTCAGTTTTACATTATCAAGCATTTTAATTTCACTCTAAAAGACTATGTACGCAAACACCAGTGTCGTGTTATAGCTTACTGTGTGCAACTTCTGCTTCTGTATGTAGATACCTCTAATAGCATATTCAAAAAATAAAAATAAAAAAAACATTTATCAGAGAAAAATCAATACCTTTATGTAACCTAGGAGAAAAGTATCAGAATCACTTACCTGATCTCAGTTTCCTCAACTAAACACCACTTCCTTAGAATATTCCAACACAAACTTCAAGACCTAAGATTTTCTCTAATATTACATGTAAAACTATACTACTATTGTAAAAGTAAGTTATATAACATTACTTATTGTATTACTATGCAAAGAATAAATAATTCTATGGGTTTGATGAAAACTTGTTTTTCTAAATGGATGCTTTCACACTATTATCAAGCTTAATAGGCAGGTGAAGAAAAATTACCATAAATTGCAACAAATTTTTGGAGAAAGGAAGAGAAGGCAGAGAAAGTCTCTAATCTGAGCTGTTAAGCCCTAATTTATATGTAATTTTCCTGATTATAAAAATTTTATTACACTGGCATGTGCATGCATGTGTGTGCTCACACTCGTGTGCTCTCTCATCATATATATTGCAGATATTGTGAAACTCGTCACCTCTAAATCAGAACAAGACTCTTGTTCTATGACTCTCCTACATGAACATAATATAATTATCACACTCAGGAAATTGGCCCAGTATGTCCCTTAATGCTATCCTGTCATGTCTCCCTAGTCTCCTTTTCTCTAGGAATGCTACCCAGGACTTTTTTGTTGAGGAAGGCAGCAAGTCTTTCTTCACAGTGAAATTTTTAAGCTTTCAGTCCAGTTGCATGGTAGACTATCCCTGAATTTGCATTTGTCTGATTGTTTCCTTGTGACTAGATTCTGGTTAAATGTTTTTCAACAGGAAAACTGCACAGTTGATTCCACACAGTTCATTTCTGTGCATCAACAGGGGCTATATAATGTCAATTTGTTCCATGTTAAGTTTGACTCTTGGTTAAGGTAGGGTCCACAGATTGCTCCACTATACACAATACTCTTTCTCTTTGTAATTCAGAAAAAAATTGCCTAGATCCATTATTATGGTAGTTGCAAACTCCCAATTTATTATTAATATTAAAACATAATTTGGTTAACTGGGGAAAAGTTGTCCTTCTCTGTGACTTCACTATAATACTAAGAAACAAGAAATTACTCAACAGATATGACTGAACATCAAGAAAAATTACCTGTCATCTACAAGAGAAAACCAGATAACTGAAGTAATCTTTAAAGAGTTTAAGGAAAACATCAATTACAAATCCAATCTGGTTTCTTCAATCTTCACTGTCAGTTCCTTTAAACACCTCTTTCTTAGACAGAATCCTATTAAAGGAAGACTAAAATACCATAAAGACTTTGGATCTAATAGTCGCTATGTAGAGTAACATCCTACCAGAACACGCTAATTACGTTCCAGTAGCAATACAATTATAAAAATATTTCACTAATCATTTCCTAGTTCAGATTAAGTCCAGTATGTAAAATCTACATTGTTTAACAGCAATCATGAAAGGAATAAAAAGACAAACACTTGGCCAACTAAAAGACAAAACTTGGTGATTTAAAATAAAACTATCATAAAGACCAAATAATAATTACCTCAGAAACCTTGTAGAAGTATCCTTTGTAAAATAAAGAAACAAACACCTGCTTCCACTTATTTCTAAAATACTGATTGAATGACTTGATTTTATAAAATATAAAAATAATTTTCACTTTCTTTGGAATTGCTAAATATGACTATTAATGAGGGTTTGATTCAAATAATAATACCCACTTTTGCCACATTTTATTCTGAACTTCCCACGGCTTGACAAAAATTTCTGCTTCACAAACTGGCCGCTTTATGGGTGTTTCTACTGATGCAGAAGCACACAAGGGCAAAGACACATTCACAGTCTGGATAAAATGCAGTAAAAATCAGTCAGGATTTTGCCTCAGAATGGATCTCGAGCTTTAGGAACCTGAGGCCCAAAACATGAGGCATATAAACATAGGGACAAAACCATCACCACAGAGCTACATTTGACCAAACAGAGGGACTGCAGGTTAGAGGACATAATATATCCGCAAGCTTTTGCCAGACAGAAGAGACAACAAAGCTTAGTTTAAAATAAAATCCATTACTGTGCACAATTTAGATCTCCCTGAAATAAAATGTTTCAAAATCCTGAGATCTGGATCACTGAATTAACTAAATAAAGAATAGCATTTTAGCCCTGGCCAGTTTGGCTCAGCAGTTAGAGCATCGGCCCACAGACCAGAGAGTCCCGGGTTTGGTTCCCACTAAGGGCACATACCTTGGTTGCAGTTTATCCCCAGCCCTGGTTGGGGTCGTGTGGGTGGCAACCACTCGATCTGTCTCTCTCACATCGATGTTTCTCTCTCTCTTCCTCCCTCTCTCCCTCCTGCTCTATCTAAAGATAAATGCAAAAATGTCTTCAGGTGAGGATAAAAAAAGTGGCATTTTACTTTATAGTGACTAGCAAGGCAGTAGGCTAACTGTCCTGAGTGACTAAAACAAATATTGGTCAGTAATGCGGTGTGACTTCTAATGCCCATTCTTCAAGTTACAAATTATTTTTCTTCTTTCTTTTAATATTAAATAGGGAACTAGCAAATAATAGAGAACCTTTACTAGCTAAATTTTAAAAAATTAAAATAAAGCCAGCCACTTGTCAGTTATATTTTAAAAAACTGTATTTAATACAATCAACTCCGATTTTACAATAAAATCATCTCACAATGAATGACACACTGCCATTCGAACATACCCTAAATCCTTATTTTTTAAGCATTACTTGAGATAAGATTTTCACTTACAACAAATCAACTTTCAACTTCTGAAGTATTAAGGATTCAATAAAAACATTAAGGACTATGCTGGAAAGTAAACACATCCTACAAAATAAAAACTTTTAGCTATGAGATGCTATAACAGAACTGGACCAGTAGTCATAGCTGGGCAGTAGTGGTAGGTCTGGCAAGTGAATTCGCATGCTGGCAAATAGCCAAAAGAAAAGTTCTGATGGGAAAGGGGTGTGATTTCAAAGTGGATAGCCTTATCACCATGCTTACACACAGAAAAGAGAGGGACAGATAAAACTAAGAAAGGTGCACTCTGCCCTGGCTGGTTTGGCTCAGCGGATAGAGTGTTGACCTGTGGTCCAGAGAGACCCAGATTTGGATCCCGCTAAGGGCACATACCTCGGTTACAGTGTTTCCCCAACCCTGGTTGGACCGTGCAGGAGGCAGCCACTTGATGTGTCCCTTTCACGTTGATATTTCTCTTTCTCTCTCTCCCTCCCACTCTATCTGAACAAAAAATCAAAAAATGTCCTCAGGTGAGGATAAAAATAAATAAATAAATAGAAAGGTGCACTCCATAGGGGATAGCAGAATGTCACAACTGCCTCAGATGCCAGATAGCAATGAAAAAAATCTTAAGAATTCGTATCACTAGGTCATTTGATGTCTGATTTTTTAGAATTTTTAACTCAACAAGGAAAAGTAAGGGAAACAAAAGTACTCTTTTAAAAATAGTCCAAATGAAACTCTCATATTCAATTCATTAAAAACTTAGATTTCTCCCTCCAAGGTCAGAAGACTGAATGTGTATTAAGGGCAACTTAAGAAAGGCAGAAAAAAATATTTCTCATGTCATCTTTCATAATACTCAATCAGAAAAATCTGCTATGGCTCAAAAAAGAAAATTTAATATATAAAAAGCCATTAATTAGCCCTGGCCAGTTTGGCTCAGCGGTTAGAGCGTCAGCCTGCTGTCCAGAGAGACCCTGGTTTGGTTCCCACTAGGGGCACGTACCTCGGCTGCAGTTTGTCCCTGGCCCTGGATGGTTCGTGTGGGTGGCAACAACTCGATGTGTCCCTTTCACGTCGATGTTTTTCTCTCTCTCTCTTTCTCTCTTCCTCTCTCCCTCCCACTCTATTTGAACAAAAAATGGAAAAATGTCCTTGGGTGAGGATTAAAAAAAAAAGCCATTAATTAGGTAAAAAACCTGAATGCCTATAATAAAGCAAAATGGTATACACTTTTATGCTCTGCTAATAAGCTAAGGGCAGTTTTAAAGACTTCTATAAAAATTATACATGTCTAGAAAATGTCATTAATTAACAAAAAGAGAATTCCATAAAGTATACATACAAGGACCTTCTGAGAAATAAACAACAACAAACTATTCTAAAGAAAGATATAATTAAATAACAAAAACACAACGGAAAGAAAGCTATTAAGAGAAACAGAACAGCATCAATTACACAAGGTTAAAAAAATCCTTGTAGAACTCTTGTAAAAATCTCTAATCCAGTGTTTCCCAAGAATAAGTATAATCTTAATCCCATCATCTTTTTTTCTTTTGGTACATGCCCCTGGTGGGAACCGAACCTGGGACTCTCTGGTCCGCAGGCCAAGGCTCCAACCGCTGAGCCAAACTGGCTAGGGCCATCATCTTTTAATTTAATAAATAATAAACTTTTTCCAAGGAGTGAGCTTCATATACAAAATTACTACCTTTTACTAATACCCTTAATATCAAGCTAGTAAATATAACTGAAAATCAATGGACTTTTGGAAAGCAGTAATTCTAATCCTATTAGGAGTATTTACTAAAATGCCAAAGTGGTCTCCATTGTGCTGTTCTCATTGTCCACAGGACAATGACCTCACTGGGCTTGATCATGTCCAAACCAGTACAAGAAAAGCCCACACAGCAGGTTCAAAGGAACAGGCACAGGTTGGTACCCGATGGGTTCTGCTAGAGGCAGAAACAAACTGAATAACATCGGGAAGCTGATTCTATGTGTATTCCTGCTCTTAAAGCAGTGTGAATAACAGAACTTAGCTTAAAAAAAGGAATAGCATTTAACAAGGAACATTTAGGAATTCTATGATTTATAATATTGGCAGGCTAAGCCTACCTAATTAATTTTTTAAAAAAGTTTATTTTATTGAGGTAAGAACACCTGACATTATATCCTCTTACCAAAATTTTAAGTGTAAAAGAAATTAACTTCTGGTAAGAATAAAAGATATTACACTGACATTTTGTAGATATGGTAACATTAAAATATAAGTCTACAATTTGTTCAAGTTTGTGCCTATAACAGATATTAGCCAGGCTTTGGCAAAAATATCTTACTAATTTCCATCCTGACAAGTTTGGGTCAGTGATTAGAATGTCGGCCCTAAGACTAGAGAGTGTCTGGTTCAATTCCGGTCAAAGGTACGTAATTCAGTTTTGGTTTGGTCCCTAGCCCTGGTCAGGGTTGTTCGGGAGGCAACCAATCAATGTGTCTCTCTCACATTGATGTTTCTCTCCCTCTCCTTCCCTCCCACTCTGTCTGAAGAAAAATATCCTCGGATGTGGATTAAAAAAATCTTATTAACTCCCCACTAAAATCATACACATGGAAAAATAACAGATATCTTTTTACATTTATGAACACTTTAAGAAATATGTAAGTACAGAACTTCTGGTACTGCCAAATTTCCAAAATATGATTTTATCTCTGTGCTACTCTAAATGTTGGTAGGAGATGAGCACAGTGATGAGCATGAGCTTTGAAATCAGACTCTGACTTATTCTGGGGAATGACAAGTTATTTTGGTTTATTCTTAATCTGTTTTCTCATTAATAAAATGAGAATAACTGCACAACCTGCTTCATAAGATTGCTGTGAGGATTAAATGGGATAATACAGTTTAAAAATTTAGCAGTACTTGATGTACACAGTAAGCAAACATTAGCTGTTATTATTAAAATGTGAAAAAATTATGAAAAGTAGTCACTATCATTTAAAGCAGTTAAAAAACTAAGGCTTTCAAAACTAGTACACTTAAGAAGATTAACATTTTGATAAAACAGGGAAAGGTGCTCAACCAAGGAAAAACTTACTTTATGGCTGCATAATAAAATGTTCCAAACCAAACACCAGAAGTTATTAGATGCACTGGAATCAAAACTTTTCCATATTGTCTAAATGTTTTCTTAAATCGTTGATAAAGGCTAATAGATTTGTCATGTAAAGGATCAGGTTCTTCCTTTTTTTCTGAAGGAGTTCCTGGAGATGTGGCATTGGATGACATAACCCTCTTAGAGAAAGTATCTTGCTCCCACTGTTTATGGTGAAGCCCCCGTTGGGGTGAATAAGCATCAAATGGCTTTCTTTCCTTTGCAGTGCACTGGGCAGAAGATAAATGCAGCCATTGTTTCTGAGGGCCCAGTACCAAAACTACTCTGGATTCAGCTGTATACAAAAGTAACGGTCCCTTTATATTTTGACAGTGTCCAAAAAGACCAGCTTTATATGGTTCCATGTATGTCCTATGTGCCATCTGGAATACAGTCCTTGGTACATTCCATTGCATTTTGAAGAATGGGTGATGGATGGATTTCAGCTTCTACAGAGAATAGATTAAAAAATTAGATGATATAGATTCCCATTTTAAACGAATCCACTTAAAAATAAGTCAGGAAGTAAAAGGATAGACATTGCTACCAAATCCATGAAATTAAGGTATACAGTTGTAACACAACGCAATTTTAAAATCTCCTAAAAACACATCATTTAAATATGATAGAATAAACAAGTCTAGGAGACATCATGAAGGGTAATGTTTTGAAGTTATGTTATTACTATGAAATGGATATTTGTAGGGCTCTGTTACTCTATAAAGCAGTGTAGTATAATGAAAAGAAGTCTTAGGTTCTAGAAGCAAAAGACCTGGGCCCTCCCTAATCTTTTGGGGACTTAATTCCATGCAATTCCCTTTTAGACACCAAACCCAAGTCTACCAGTAAAATGATGATTACTTCACAGGTTATTACAGAAATATGAAATTTCTGTTGTAAAAGTGCTTTTTAAACTAACAAGCATCATATTAAGTGTTAGTTATTATAAAAATTAAGGTCTGATGAATAGTTGATATCAGGTATCATTTATTCTATAAGGCCTTTAGACTAAATTATATAAAACTGTGAATATTGGCTGGTGAGAAGAGAAATGGACTTTTCCTGACAGCTCTAACTTTCTGTCAGAAAAGTAGTTATTATGTAATTTTAAAAGAACATGGACTTTGGAATAAGAGGGATCCAACTGAGTTAATAGTGGTATCATTTTGAGCAAATTACTTGGCCTCTCTAGATACAGGTTTCCCCACTGGTATAATAGAATTATAGTATGTATTACTATATAGCAAATCAGTTCCTCTCTCTCGGTATCAGGAAGTACCACTGACCCCTAATCTTCACTCCCATTACACGCCTGTTAACTTACTACTTCTAATACATTGAGAACAGATAATCTTACTTTTAAAATGGTATGCCAAATAAGAGTCAACAAGACTTGAGTTAGCACCCCAGTATATCAGCACTTGAATAAATACAACTACTCCACTACACTTTACATGAATATTTGTTATCTCGGGACAAGCTGACTGTCATCAAATAAAAACATTCACTAATGAATTGTCCCCCTATAAAATTAATCCCAACTCATCCCCCCCTAATTAATAATTAACATTAGCTCCTATCATGTTCTCAGAGATAATCCAACAACACAATGCAAATGAGTTGTGAAATGAAACTGCAAATCTCTCAAAATGAGCAGGCTCCCAGGAAGACTTTAAAGGTGGTGTTAGAAATTGCTACAGTCAAAAGCAATGTAAAAGTCAAGCAACAATTTGAAGAATCAGACCAGTTAACAACCAAAGTGAAAAGCTACAGGGATACAGAAAAGTGTTTCAAATAAAGAATGATTTCCATATTAAATGACTAAGAAAGGCCATAGAGAAAAATGATTGAGCCTTTAATTATTTTTACAAAACTGACTTATTATTTCTTCTGAAAGTCAAATATTGAGTAAAAGATGTATTAGATCCATCCCAGGCAACAGCAGCACAGATCGGCAGCTGAGACCCATCCCCAAAAGCTTCAGTAGAGGCTGAGTAGGAGCTGAGCCTCACCAGACAGCAGTGCTACCCAGCTGACAGTGGCAGGACCTGGGGCTCCAATGGGGCCTGTGCGATCCAGATGCCCACGGGACCAGTAGGGAGTCGGGGCTCCAGTGGGGCCTGTGTGATACAGCTGCCTGCAGTGCCAATGAGGAGCATGGCTAAAGGGGGCCTAAGTGATACAGCTGCTAGCAGCACTGGTGACTGGTGGGGATTGTGGCTTTAGTGGGGCCCATGTGATGCAGCAGCAGTGCCTACTAGGACAGACCAATACCAGCCGCCAGTAGTCAATCCTCAAAGACCCACAGCAGGCAAGAGGTGATGCACCAGAACAATCTGGGAGGCATAGCAGCCTTATTTGATACAATGACCTGCTTAAACATCCCAACATCCCTCACTGGCTCTAGAACTACCAGATGGCTAAAATGGGGAGACAAAGAAATAACACCCAAATGAAAGAAAAGGAAGAACCACCAGAAAAAGAACTATATGAAATGGACGAAAGCAATTTGTCACATAAAGAATTCAAAGCAGTGACTTTAAGGGTCCTCAAACAATTCAGCGAGAACTGCAAGCAACTTATTGAGAATTACAGATGGCTCAGCAGGAACTACATCACTTAAAAAAAGAGGTAGAAGCTATGAATAAAAATCAAGAGGAAATAAAGAACAATATAGTTGATATGAAAAAAATACCTTAGAAGGATTCAATAGATTAGAAGAAGATGAGGACTGAATTAGTGAGCTAGAAGACAAAATAGAAAAAAATGCCCAAATAGAACAGCAAATGGGGAAAAAATAAAAAAAAAATAAAAAATAAAAAAAAACAGGAGGAGAGTTTAAGGGAGCTTTGGGACAAAACAAAACATAACAACACTTGCATTATAGGGGTACTGGAAGGAGAAGAATCAGAGAAAGGAATAGAGAACCTGTTTGCAGAAATAATGACAAAATTTCTCAAATTTGGTGAAGGAAAATGTCACACAAGTCCAGGAAACAGAGTCCCAAGCAAGATGAGCCCCCAAAGACCCACAACTACATGCATAATTAATATGGCAAACATTAAAGACAAAAAAAGAATCTTAAAGGAAGCAAGCGAGAGACAGAAAGTTACCTACAAGGGAGCTCCCATTAGACTGTCAGTTGATTTCTCAATAGAAACACTGCAGGCCAGAAGGGAGTGGCTTGAAGTGCACAAAGTAATGAAATGCAAGAAGCTGAATCCAAGACTACTTTATCCAGCAAGGCTATCATTCAAAATTGAAGGTGAAATAAAGAGCTTCACAGACAAAAAAAAAGCTAAAGAAATTGACCACCACCAAACCAGCACTGCAAGAAATGCTAAAGAGACTGCTGTAAGAAGAAGAAACAGAGAGACACAGAGAGAGGAAAACAGGCATAAAATAAAAATGGCAACTCATAAGTATATATCCATAATAACCTTAAATGTAAATAGCTTAAATGTTCCAATCAAAAGACATAGGGTAGCTGATGGGATAAGAAAATATGACCCATATATTTGCTGTCTACAAGAGACCCACCTCACAACCAAATACTCACACAGGATGAAAATGAAGGGATGGAAAACACTTTTCCAGGCAAATAGAAATGAAAAAAAAAGCTGGTGTAGCAATACTCATATCTGCTAAGACAGACTTCAAAAAGAGGACCATAATAAGAGACAAATAAGGTCACTACATAATATTAAAGGAAACAAGCCATCAAGAGAATTTAACCCTGGTAAACATATATGCACCAAACAGGAGCATAAAAATATGTTAAAAATGTCAGGGGGACTTCAAAGGAGAGATCAATAGTAATACAATCACAGTGGGTGACTTTAACACCCCACTGACACTACTGAATAGATCTTCTAGACAAAAAATTAACAGGGACACACAGTCCTTAAGTTACCAACTAGATCAGCTGGACTTAATTGATATTTACAGAACATTTCACCCCAAAGCTGCAGAATATACATTCTTCTCAGTGCACACGGGACATTCTCAAAGACAGACATGTTAGGACACGAAGTAAATCTCCACAAATTCAAGAAGACCGAAATCATATCAAGCATCTTCTCAGATCACAATGGCATGAAACTAGAAATCAATTACAACAAAAACATTCAAACACATGGAGGCTAAATAGCATGTTATTAAACAATGAATGGGTTACCAAGGAGATCAAGGAAGAAATTAAAAACTTCCTGGAAACCAATGAAAATGAAAACACAACATCACAAAATCTATAAGATGCAGCAAAAGCAGTCTTGAGAGGGAAATTCATAGCACTACAGGCTTACCGCAAGAAACAAGAAAAATTCCTAATTGGATTCCTAACCCTACAGCTCAAAGAAGTAGAAAGTAAACAAAAAGAAAAACCCAGAGCAAGTAGAACGAAAGAAATAGTGCAGGTAAGAACAAAAATAAATGACACAGAAACTAAAAAAAAAAAACAATTCAAAAGATCAATGAAACAAAGAACTGGTTTTTTGCAAAGATAAACAAGACTGATGGACCCTTAGCCAGACTTACCAAGAAACAAAAAAAAGAAGACCCAAATAAACAGAATCAGAAACGAAAGAGGAGAAATAACAACTGACACCACAGAAACACAAAGGATCATTAAAACATACTACAAACAATTATATGCCAACAAATTGGAAGATCTGGGCAAAATGGACAAATTTCTAGAAACACAGTCTCCCAAAACTGAACCAGAAAGAGATAGAAAACTTGCATAGACCAATAACAATTAAGGAAATTGAAGATATGATCAAGAAACTGACCCGGGCCCTTCATGGGGGAAATTTACCAAACATTCAAAGAAGAAGTAACACTCATTTTCCTTAAACTATTCCAAAAAATTCAAAAGACTTCCAAACTCGTTTTATGAGGCCAACATAATTCTAATTCCAAAACCAGATAATGACACTACAAAGAAAGAAAACAGGCCAATATCCCTGATGAACACAGATGTAAAAATCCTGAACAAAATATTAGCAAACCAGATCCAGCAACAACACATCAAAAAATTATTCATCATGACCAAGCAGGATTCATACCAGGGATGCAAATCTGGTATAATATTCACAAATCAATAAATGAGATATCACATAAACAAAATTAAAGATTAAAAACCATATAATTATATTAATAGACACTGAAAAAGCATTAGACAAAATCCAGCACCTATTTCTGATAAAAACGCTCAGCACTGTGGGAATAGAGGAATCATATCTCAACATAATAAAGGCCATATATGAAAAACCTACAGCCAACATCATACTCAATGGGCAAAAACTACAAGCATTTCCCTTGAGAACAGAAAAAGACACGGATACCCACTTTTGCCACTCTTATTAAACATAGTACTGGAAGTCAGCCACAGCAATTAGACATGAAGAAAAAATTAAAGGGATCCCAATTGGAAAGAAAGAAGTGAAAC